GACATCTAACTGGAATATTTTCCAGTTTTTTTGAGCCACAAGAGCCACCACCATCCTCACTGTCTCCATTCTTACTACTGGAGCGTAGACTTCGGTGTTGTCTATCCCATGTTTTTGCATGTACCTCTTGGACACCAAGCATGCTTTGTGTTTCTCAAGCTCTCCATGCTCATTATACTTGGTTTTATAGATCCATTTCACCCCAACTTTCTTGGCTCCAACAGGCAGCGTAACCAACGTCCATGTCTTGTTTTTCTGTATGGACTTAATTTCATTGTCCATTGCCAATCCCCAACTTGCATTCCTCACTGCTTCTTCATAATACAATGGATCACTTGATACCATTAGTGCCATATTACTCTCATCTTCAGATAACCTAAGGCCCTCCCCACTAACATAATCCCTCATCCATCCTAGACGATTCCCCACTCTCTTACCAATACTACCTCTACTATCTTCATTTTCTTCACTGTTTGGAGATTCATTTCTTTTATCACCACTGCCAATCTCACATATATTTTCACCATTATTTTCAACCCCCATCAGTGTTTTCATCTCCCTGACCATTATCATCTACTTCTGCATCATCATCTTCCCACTCTAAATTTATCAAAATTTGTTCTTCATAACTCATTTCCCAATCCCATTGCCTATCCTCTTCAAATATCACATCCCTACTCACCACCACCCTTTTATTAATAGAATTATACAATCTATATCTCTTAGATTCCTCACTAACACCCAAAAATACACAAATAGAACTTTTATTGTCAAGTTTAGTCCTTCGTACCTTTGGTACATTAACATGTGCTATGCAATCAAAAACCCGAAAATGATCACCAGAAGGCTTCGTTCCGCTCCACGCTTCTTCAGGTGTGATATTTTTGACTGCCAAGGTTGGACATATGTTCAACAAATAATTGCTCCAATTTACTGCATCTGCCCAAAATGGTTTTGGAATTCCCTTCTCTTAGAGCATTACGCGAACCATGTTCATTACAGTTCTACCGTTCAGCCACACCATTTTGTTAAGGGGTGTAGGTAGTTGTCAGTTACCTTTTAATGTCATTCTCTATGCAGAAGTTGTTGAATTCAACTGAGGTGACCTCGCCTCCCCTATCTGTACGCAGACACTTGATGGGCAAACCTGTCTCATTCTCCACCATTTTCTTAAAACACTTGAAATGACTCAATGCTTCTGACTTCTCAGTCAAAAAATACATCCATGATTTTCTAATGTAGTCATCTATGAAACACAAAAAGTACCTTTTGTTGATGTTGGACATGGGAGTGATTGGTCTGCAGATTCTGTGTTTATTGAACTTCTGCTCATGAACTATCAGTGAACTCTGTAATTCATCTATAGACATGACATCAATATCTTTGGACTCTTCAATGTCACAAACAATATAATTGAACTTATCTGTCAAAGATCTCAAAATCTTTTTAACCATAGTCACATTAGTCATCACATCTCCATACACACGCATCTTATTTGCCACTGCCATAACCCTAGAAAAGTAAACAGTAATAGTTTCACCTGATTTCATCTCTAGGGTTTCAAAGTCTTTGCGGAGACCTTGAAGAGTCGACCTTTTCACTCTTGTGTTCCCTTCATACTTCTTTTTCATAGCATCCCAAATGTCCTTCGCAGTGTCTTTCTTCATGATGATCTCCATGATTGACCTATCTATTGCTTAGAATAGATAATTCTTGACCCTCAAATCCTTTAGCTGTAATTCCTCATAACTCGTCTGCTGCGCCTTTTGTCACTACTGCTTCTGCTAGTCGCACGTACCTTGTCTCCACAAGATCCCAATATTGTTTGGATCTCAATAAGTTCTCCATCAGCATAGCCCAGTGATCATAATAACCATTGAAGATTGGAATTGTGGGATGTGCGAATTTCACTTCGTTTGACATCTCTCTCTGTTTTGATGGTCACTCAAAACTGCTGCCCTCTTTTTTTTTTTCTTTATTCAGGCTCAGTGGTGGTTCTGATACCAAAAATGTTGGAAAGCTCTGATGAAGTAATCAATAAAGCTCAATGATATTTTGGATAAAATGACCTCTCATCTTATTGAACAAACTTGGCTATATATACAACCTTACAGTACGTAATAGAACAGCTGAAATAAAGTTCACGTTTAGCTAAACATTAGCCAACATGGTTAGTGTAAACTGACCACTAACAGTCTCAATCAATCCTAAAGACTAGCGATTTATTTAACAGAAGCAAAACTCAGTAAACACCTAAAAATAAGCAATAATTATCCTTTCAAATTCCCCAAGCAAACAGGCACTAAAAGATTTACGAATTATTATTTTATACCTTTAAATATTAAGGGTGCGTTTGGTAACGTTTTTATTTACGTATTTTCAAAAATCCAAAAAATAGAGACACAAATTATTTTTGTTTTTATGGTGAACACTGAAAATAAAAAACATGTTTTTGAGTCTTTAGGGTGACAAGATAGCCCTCAAACAAATCCTTAAACTAATCAAGTGCAATAGTGTTACTCAAGGCCAAAATTAATCCTAACTCTAACTACAACTAAAATCCAAAAAATCAACCCTAACCCTAACATTTTAATTGAAATTAGATTTCACTCACACACCAATAAATTAGACACACACACAACAATCACACACATCACAAAAATCACATACACGTAGAGACCCTTACATCAAACACACACAGAGATCCATAAATCACACATACATGCACAAAAATCAGACACAACACAAAAATAGTGATGGAGACAGAAATCATACACTCTAGATCTAAAATCTCTCTGTTGCACAGACCAAGACGAGAAAAATAGACGATGAAGAAAGCCATAGAAAAAGCGATGGAGGTAGCGATGGAGGCCGTGATGGAGATGGATGCATCGATAAAGGCGGAGATAGAATACAAAAAGAAGAGAGAGATAATGGAATGAGTTTTTATACTTAAACTTAAAAATATGTGTTTTGCTTCTAAGAAAACTTGAAATCTGAATCTCATTAACCCCCACGCGCTTGTTTCTTGTTTCTTAGAACATCTTTTTTTTTTGTTTCTTATTTTTTGGCCTTATATTCAAAAATTTATCTTATGTGAAACATAAACACAAACCTAAACGCATTTTTATTTTTATTTTTTACAAAAAGTAAAAATAAAAACAAAAAAATGAAACAAAAGCACTAACCAAACGCACCCTAATTATATTTCATCATCAATGTTTTAAAAATGTTATAATGTGACTATTCTGTTAATTTTTGTTGCTCGTTCCCTCAATGGTGTGTTTTTTAATGTAGGATTTAGTCATTTTGAATGCGAAAAATCAAGTCCCATCTAGAAGGACTTAGTTTTTCCTTTCCCAAAATTGTCAAATCCTACTACTTTATTGTCACGCCCTTCTTTTTTCACACGTAGAATTTACTATGTTACCATGATAACGTACTGAATCTGATTCATGAAATAATTATTTCATAACCACCTTCTAAAACCAATTTTAGGGATGTGAGTGAAATCTAGTTGAATGAGTTATGTGTGTACAAAATAACAGAAGTAAGAACACAATGAGATAAAATGGTTAATCAACTGAAGAATTAGACTAATTCACTCTAATAGATTCTCTTACTCTTCTAGTTTGTATTACTTACTTGGCGAAGAAGAAAATTACAGTCTTTTGAGAATACAATTGCACATTCTTTGGGCAAGGTAAGGGTTTGCCTATTTGTACACTACAATAGTGTGTTCTTAAGTAATGCTAGTGTGGTCCCCCAGTTTGTTAGAATTTGTGAGTAAATATTTGACCGTTAAAAGTTACATCCCATAAGTGTAACGTAACATTCTATAAGTTAATGACGTGACAATCTAGAGTTAGATTATTCATTATGTGGGATAAGATCTGATGATGTAATTCCTTTTACGTCATTTCCTCTGCTATGGGATAAGTTTGTTCAAGGTAAATTTAACGCGTTTAATAATGGCTGAGCTAGTTCACACCTATACTGATCTGGCTCCTTATGTAACAGAGCAGTCAATCTAATCTTTAGGTCGATTGATTTATTTATCTAGAAGTAGGCCTCTTTTTCAATGTGATTTTGATCCGGATACAATTGATTTTTGTTATGTATTCCTCACATTTCCTATAAGAATCATAAGTTCAAATTACAATGGAAGAAAGGGCAATATTTGTTTGGAATGTATTCCTATGTTATGACATTGGTGTAGTAAATAATCTAAAGACATTCTTGAATAATTTGCTATTCAATTGATAAAAAATTTAATATAACAATAATAACATGTTATTATTGATACGTAATGTCATTAATTAATTATAATATAACTATCAAACAAGACTTATAGCACCACATCAGATCGCCCAAAAAGCGATTGCCATAATCATGCAATCCTGACCCTTCATCAGAGCATCACAACGAATCAACGATCAGATAGTCTTCAATTCGATGTGAGCACTTACACAATATATACATTACCTCTTTACTTTGTACTGACTGATCTCCTTGGTGTCCAAGGAAGCAACAAATAGGAGTAGGAGTGTTTTTTTCTAGAAAAAAACACGAAAGTTTATCTCCTTCTTCATGCGTGGCCTTCATGCATATGTGGGACCCATAACTGTTAATCCATTCTACACCGTCGATCTTCGTCAAGGAACCTGGATCAACGTGTACAAATCGTTGCCTGTCAATATCCTTCCTCATTATAGTGGCTATATCGTAATTGATTAGAACTACAGGGGCATAAACAAAGACTGGCGTTTCAATCTATGTCGATGATCTACTTAACTGGGCGCGAAGTTGAGAAAAAAGGAGCAATCTTTCTCTTCCTATTAATTTTTCCACACACACACTCTCTCTCTCTCTCGCTATAGAGGATTCGAGATGGAGATGGAGATGGAAGCGAAGGCGATTCGTTTGAACTGAGCTGTATCTAAGACGAAGCGATCGAAGCGGAGCCCTAAGCGCCTTTCCTTTTATCTCTCTTCCGACCCATGGAGTCATCGCCGCTAGCCAGATACACCCCCCAAAATTCAAAGTAAGTATCTCTTGTTTATCTCTCTATGCATGTGATTATGTGTTTATGATCGCTTTGAATGGTTGATTGATTCAGGAAAAGAGTGTTTCCTGGGGGAAGTTCGTCTTGCATGGAGCCCGAGGTCGTCGAAATCTCTCCGCCGATTTCTCGCAGTTCAAAATCGAATAAGCAGAAGGAGGTAAAATCAATGATTGAAGCTTTTTTTTGTAGTTATAAATTTGATTTTGCAAAGCTTTTGTTCCATTTGGCTGATTTGGTAAAATGAGAGAAGTCAGTTTTCATTTGTAGCATTGGCTCAATCAGCTATCTTTGAGTCATTACTTGTCACCAGGGTTTCATCCGTCTCTTAAGGGAGCAGTTGAATATAGTCAAGCGGTTGACAAGAAGTTCTTGCATTGCTTAGATTATGATCCACAGGGGTATCTGATACTTCTTCATTTAGATTAGGTTAAATGTGGGTATCCGATCACAATAGCTATTTCACTGCAATTTATTAATAATGGAATTCCGTAATTCATTCCGGTTGCGAGTCCTTAGGATTCTTGTGGATTTGTTAGATTGTTGTTGTTACATATATGTTGCATGGTAAAGGTAGTCGAATTCTAATTGAAGAGAAGGAAGTGTGTTGTTAAATTACTCAAAATCTCCTTTCTTTATTATGCTCTATCCAGGGTCAGTTTCTATTAAATCACAAGTTATCTGGAGAAAATGAAATGAAAAAAGGAAGAAACCATTTAATCTTACTATGGCCCTTGGGCACTCATTCATGTGAAAGAGACATTGTAAATCAGAATACCTGATTTTACTATTTATCATCAAAAATAAAGTCCATAGACCAATCCATCCTAGTGGTATGACTTGGAAGCCGAGGAATCTTCGTGGTCAAGCAAAGCCAATGGCCAAGTAGTCTTGGTGTCCGTGTTTAACTAGAAAGCTAGACTTTCTCCAAGTATGACTAAGAGGCTTGGACAAAAAGCCATTGCTAAAACCCATAACATAGTAGTTTGGGTACTACCTATACCTAGCACATTGTTAGTTATAAAGAGAGCTTGGATCTCGAATCGAATAATTAAGACCACTAAAGGCTAGTTAATATGCTTGAGGGGCTCTCCATTAGTTGTTAATTGATTTTGGGTTGGATGGTGCGACTTGGTATTAGAGTTGAGTTTTGTGTGATTAGTTGACCAAGTCTTGTACCCATTTACATTTTCGGTATGCACGCTTGCTTGGTTGTTTGTTCATTAATCTCACGTGCAATTGCGAGTCTCACTGGAGGGAGTGTATAAAGAGAGTTTGTATCTCACATCGAATGATTAGGATCACAAAAAATTTGTTAATGTACTTGGGGGGTTCACTTTATTTATTATCAATTGGTTTTACGTTGGATGCTTTAATAAGGCATCAGAGCTGGGCCATGGGGTCAATAGGCTAAGTCTATTACCCATTTGAATTTTTCGACGTATATATATTCGGTTGTTAGCCATACGAGCACGAATCCCATGTAAGGGAGAGTGTAAAGACTTGTATCTTAGATTGAATAATTAGGACTCTCCAAGGTTGGTTAATATGTTTAATGCTGTTTTGGACTGGATAATCTAATACGGTTATATTGCATGTGCAAAGGTTGTGGCTCATTTTGTGATTTTGTTTACTTAATTTTGTGCATTTTGAGAAAGAAATTTAGTGCCATTTGTTTGGAGGAATCTCAGAATGAACTTGGAAATAAACCTAGAACCTAGGAATAATAATAGCAATGGATGATCTTGTACGGACAACTTGTTGTGGTTAGATTGAGTCCAGCCCCAACTTTGCATTTCCTTTGGTTAGGGGTGTTCTTATCCCCAACCCAGTCTCCCAACTTCGTCCTTACATGTGATCTAGGAAGTACGGACACTTGCGGTGTAGAAAAATAGTTTGACGCCAGGATGATAAAAAGTTTAACACTTCTCATTCTTATTACTTTTTCAATATGAAAAAGAAAAAAAAATGAAAAATCAAAAGGTCATCTTATTCAAAATCTCAATTATGACATACCTTCTCAGTCACTTCACACCTCGGAATGCACCGTTTTTATAGAGAGAAACGCGCTTGCATATCTTCTTAACTCGAAAAGGCTGGGAAGAGGAAATGTTTCTTTTTTTGAGGGTATTTTTGAAAATAGATCCAATGAAGATGGGATGGGCCCTGTAGCTTAGGGGATTAGAGCACGTGGCTACGAACCACGGTGTTGGGGGTTCGAATCCCTCCTCACCCACAACCGTTCCAAAAGAGAAGAACCTTTTCCTACGGCTAGGACACGTAGGGGATACAACCAGATACGGGGAATAAGGGGTTGAAAAGAAGAGAGAAAAAAAAGAAAACGAAGAAGCAAAAGTAGAGGACACCGACAAAGAGTAGAGAAGAAGAGGTGAATAGACATATCAAATCTACTTCTTTCCTCCTTCTTCTTCCTCTTCCTCTCTCTGGCTGTTTCTTTGTTGGTGCCCTAGTTCTTTTTTTTTTCTCTCTCTCGATCTCGACTGAACGAAGAAGACATTGTTTACTTTTATTAATATTGTATAATTTATTTATTAATTATCAAATAAATTAGCCCACAACCTACAACCCACTTATATTGCATAATTTCTATTATATTAGCTCATTACTCAATTTTTGTAAGATATTAACCAACTATCTAATGATTTTTAGGTCTTGTTATTAATGTTTTTTATATAAAAAATATATAATATTATTTTAATTAATCGTATCCTTGTCGAACTCATGTTTTATATTTTGAAGTTTTGTCGTATTATCGTGTCTGTATCGTATCGGATACGACACTCGTGTTTGTATTCGTGTTTTCTAGCCTGTGATTGACTTCTAATGTACGTACCAGTATGCTATCTCCTAACCCCAAACAAAAGAAACCCAACTCAACAGATAGTTTGGATTAACATTTACAATTTCCATCAAGCGATGGGTAGAGTCCTTTGCAGAAGACTTAAAAGGGGTATTATATGTGGCTGGGTGGCCTTGCTGCCACGATCTAATGGGATTCGATCCTTTATCGCTCTGATTTGGCCCTCCCCTCGTAATTCCCTTTCCTTTTGCGAATTTTCCATTAGAACTTACATGTGTAGCCCCCTGCCAGTTGGGCACCAGCAGTTGTCCAACCAAGTCTGTGGCTGTGTCGACAAGGTAGCCATCTTCCCTGCTCCCAATACAAACAAAGAATGGATTGGGAGCTTCTCTAGCATGCTACTTTTAGCTTCTCTATCTCTCTGAACAATTTGAACTTTCTTTTATAAGAAATGAGTTTCTGGATATTTCAGGAGAGCTTGTACTGTATTCCTTAGGCTGAAGGGTGCATGGCCATTTTCAGATCTTGGTGATGAAAAGTATGCACAAGTGTTTAGCCATTTGGGATTCTATTTATGCTGAAAATAGAAACAAACAGATAAGAGGCATGCAAAAACACAGGCACAATGCTACAGACATATACATCTCTCTCTCTCTGCATGTCTGTTTCTTCTTGTTGTTCTGTTGAAACAAATTTACCAAGAATGTTCGGTGAGATTTCTCCTTATGCCCCTGGTTTCTGCTTTGTCATTTGTTTGGAAAAAAAGTTTTCCGAATATATTTTAGTCTCTCTCTCTCTCATGCTTTGCTTTTTTTATGTAGTCATTTTTAACTTTTGCTTTTATTGAAATTTTTGTATACCTTCTTACCGCCTTATTTTCTTCAATGAGTGTGACCTGAGGCTGAGAATGAGGTCTGTTGCTTTCACTTATGAATCTTTTATGGCTCCTCTCATGTTTGCTTTGATGATTTGGTAGTTGCATAGAAATCTTTATCGGTGGCTATGTTTCCATGCTCTACTTGCTGCCTATTTGGGCCAATTTGTTAACGACCTAATTTCTTGTAGGTTATGCGTAGTGATGTTATTGATGTTGACATGGATGAAGATTGTGGTGATGTGATGCTTATTGATATGACCACTGGCACAAATTGCAAGGGGAAGGTAATTCTGTTTTTATTCGTTATGATCAATTTGTAATGCTGCGGACTAATCTTTGATTTTTTTCATCTATCATTTCCGTTGTGGTTTACTGCTGTAAGAGTTATGTGCTAACTGGTATTTTTTCCCTTTCAAGGAATCTTTGATCAATCTGTCATTGGGTCCTAGTACTGCAGAAAATCTTGGGTCAGTGATAGGAGTTCAGACTTCCAGTCAGAGCTGTGCCCCAGGCTCATGTAGTTCAATAAATCTGGATGGTTTCAGTCCTGACTTATCTTTTGGTGATGACGAGTGTATGGATATTTTCTGTGACGACTTAACGTATGATGATGAATATGCAATGTTGCAATCCCATTTTGATAGTATAGATATTCCTCCTGGAATTGAGGTTCCCATTCCTTGGTTTCCAGAAAATACAAAACAGCCAGCTACGACAGGTTGTTCAACCCAATCAACTGAGCCATTCCAATGGGATGTGATGGGTCTCCCTCCTGGAACAGACTCATCTCACTCATCCTGCCCACCTGGGTCTGCCAAAATAAGGCAAAAGTCAACTTCAAAGGGCAGTTCAGGCTTCCGAATTCTAGTGGATGCAGTCAGTGACCCATCACCTTGGTCTTATGTAGAACCTGCTCAAAGTAAGAAGAAAGGAGCAGCTTCACTTAGTTCAACTACATTGAGTTTGCTACCCCAAAGGGGTGCTGTGGATCTTCCAACTGGGGTGGAACCACTTAAATCGTGGTGCTTTACTGAACCTTCACATAGCAAAGGAAAGTCTGCAGTTCCTGGTAGTAGAACCCATTATCGTTCTCGTTGCCCTTTTCAACCTATTGGCGGGTCTCTTTTTACTAAGAGTAGTAAGAAGCTAGCTGGTATTGATTCTATTGATAGTCTAACTTATTCAATTTCTCATGCACCAATGGACGCAATGAGTCTCGCTCCGGGAATAGGTGCACCCATTTCTATGTTGCAGGATTTCCCCGTATCAAAGAAAAAGTCTCATATGAGTGCTCTACATCATCAAAGTTATATCAATCAATCCAATGCTGTACAATACTTGCCTGGGGAAGAGGCTTTCCCCCCCTGGGTCCATGATCCGGTCAAAAGTCAAACTACTGCTGGCAGTGCGGGAAGTTCAGAAATTAGGCAAAATTATGGAAATGAAGTTGATATTCTGGAGAAGTTTAGTCTTTTTAAAAAATTTGATACAGTCCAAGATCATTTGGACCATCACTATTCCCGCAATGGTTCTTCATTGAAGCAGGTAACACAGACTAAAGAATGCATTTCGTATGATTCTTTTCTTTGTCTTGAGATACCTATAACTGCTAATTGTATGTTGACAGCCATCAAAGAATTGGGCAAAAAAAATTCAAGAGGAGTGGAAGATCCTGGAGCAAGATTTGCCTGGTAGTTTTCTATGATTACCTTATCTGGTTTGGGATCTATTTTTTATGATGAAGTCCTTATTGTTGGAGCCTGTGATATAGAGAAAGTTACTGGTGCATATTGGTAACTGGTGTTTTAGAATTTGTGTCAGTGGTGTCAACCCTTTGTTTCATTTATCTGTCATGTGCCCACGTTCCCTTAAATATATTTTCTTGCTTTATGCAGAGTATTCATTTTCAGTGGAGATTTATACATTGGATTCGTCTCATTTTAGTTTGTTTTATGTCATTCCCATAGATACAATCTTTGTTAGGGTCTATGAATCACGGATGGATCTTTTGAGGGCAGTGATTGTGGGAGCCGAGGGGACACCATACCATGATGGTCTCTTCTTCTTTGATGTTTTCTTCCCTTCCAGCTATCCTGATGTTCCACCTGTAAGTAACTAAGCTTAGTGTGTTTGAATGCATGAATGCTTAAAGTTACCTATTCCCTTTTACCTCTTGAGTTTGACAATTGGGGAACTACTGTTTCAGCATGTGTATTACCACTCTGGTGGTCTTCGAATCAATCCGAATTTGTACGATTCTGGAAAAGTATGCCTAAGCCTTCTTAACACTTGGACTGGTAACCAGAAGGAGAAGTGGATCCCTGGTTTGTCGACCATGCTTCAAGTTCTAGTCTCTATTCAAGGGCTGATTTTGAATGCAAAGCCCTATTTTAATGAGCCTGGATATGCAATGATGAGCGGCTCTGAGAGTGGAGAAAAGAGCTCTTTGGTGTACAATGAGAACACTTTTATCCTATCACTGAAAACGATGGTTTACACTATGAGGAGGCCACCAAAGGTAAGATTGCGAAAATATCCCATCTGTTGTTTATGAATATGGTGATTGTAACAAATGAGCATTCATCAACTCAATGTAATTACTGAGGTAGCATTTATACGTTACTGAGCAATGATAATCTAACCCTCTATGATCATTCATCTATCTGACAAGCATATTGTTTATCATGATTGACATCACCCCGCACTAGAGCTGTGAGAACTTTTGAAAAGTGAATAAGAAACAAGTTTGCATAGGGAATGTTTGGCGAAGTAGACACATTGCTTAAGGGAAGGTGCAAAACTAGGCTGGACTTTTATTTTTAAACATTGAGCACGGAATTCACTATTTACTAATTTGGTGATTAAATATTCAGTATCTTGTCTTGTCATCATGAGTCTGTTTATATTCTCACTCAGGCATGTCTTGATATCTATTTTTCTAATTGTTTCATTGCAACTTATTCAAGCCAGTCTTGACCTGTGGTTTTACTTTTGTTTGTTTGCTCTACCATCCGAATGCCATTGGTTGGTTATATTGTTGCCGGAATAGCAAAAAAGGCATGCAGGCATGTGCTTTGGTAGTGCCTAGTCTGAGATCTTTTTGTGATCTGGGAATGCATTAGGTGTGGATTTCTTTGTGATCTCAGCATGCAGCTTCTAATTGTCTGAATTTGTTTCTTGCTGCAGTATTTTGAGGACTTTGTTGTTGGGCATTTTCGTAAGTATGGTCAGGATATTCTGGTGGCATGCAAGGCATATATGGAAGGCGCTCAAGTAGGGTGTCTTGTCAAAGGAGGCGTTCAGGATGTTGATGAGGGTGACAAGAGCTGCTCGGAGCATTTTAAGCGCTCTCTGGCTGGGTACATTAATACACTTGTGAGTGCTTTTACACAAATTGGAGCTAAGGACTGTGAAAAGTTCCTTTCCCTGGCACAAAAAGGTAACAGGCCAGGGACTGCTCCGCCGAATCCCGCAAATTATTTATCATACTGATGAGAAGGCAATTTTGGTGCGTTCATGTAAAGTATATTTGCATGTTAGAATTGAATTTCGATTTGTTAATTTTGAATCATATTATGGATTATGGTAAGTTTGTAACATTAGGATGCTTCACTAAACATTTGGAAAATAAATGCTTATCGGTGTAAATATGATTGGGGTATAGAGTCTATAATTAATCTTGTCAAAATTATTATTGGTATAATGGGTGAAATTTTCTTATGTTACTGATTATGTGGTACAGCTTTCATCATTGTGATCTCTCAAATAACTCTAATAGCAGATTTTGGTTTCTTTTAGATCATCAAATCAAAGCCAGAAAATGTTCAGATTGCCTTTATTTGTGTAGATGTTAGAAAATGTCTCTTAGAAACCATTGTTAGTTGAGGGGAGATCTATGTTTGATTGGTATGTTGGGTTGGTCTGACCAAGAAAGGCATGGTAGTCTCTAGGCATTGCTTGAGTTAACTCAAGTTTGAGCCGAGTTAAGTAAAGATTGGCTACCCAGAAAGATCCATCATTGTAAAATTTTTATATATCTGTCTCCATCATCGTTTATAAGTTCTAGTTATGAATCGGAGATAGAACAATGGGGAGGTTACGTGTTGACCTTCCTATTTTAGGAGCCATCTGTTGAAGAAATGGTGGAGGAATGAAATGAGTAAGCAAACATACTTTGTTCTTTTACAAATTAAAATCTTTTACCATTCTAAATCTCATTCAACAGCTTTTACTAGCCATTTTATGCATGCTTTAAGCATGTGAGCTTCAATTTGCATTACATCATGGAAATAATATATTTGCATGATTGTGTATATATCCGATCATCGTTGTATTGTCCAGTGACAAGAAATCTCGTTTACTAAATTATTTCTATTTGTAATTGTTATCTTTAAGGTCAAATTTTGGTAATATGAAAGGAATTTGAACTTTCTTTCAAGTTGCTATTTTATCGGGATGGGGAGTTTCATGTGATCTATAGACTTTTTATGTTTTTTGCTTTTCATTGTATTTTTACTCTTTTTGTGGTTGGATTTCTTATCCATTCGCCTTTCATGTAATTCCGCTTTTATTTTAATGCAATATGTCTCTATTTTTATCAAAAAAGAGGCATCACTATTCAGAGGCAGAATAGACAAAGCCGAAGTGGGGAGTCTTTCCCAAATAATTATTTGGTGGAGATGAGTTATGGTTTGTATTTCCATCAATTGATTCAATGTTGCCTCCTCTACCGGGTTTAGCACAGTTGGTATTAATTACGATATAGATAGGTGATGATTAAGATGGAGACGACTTAGAGTCGGGTCAAGTCTTTGGTAGGTTTATCCAGACTTTAATGGCAAAAAAAAGAAGAAAAATCACAATTGAGAGAATGGTATTCAAACATGCGTTCAAGGCAGAGCCAGAAATTTTTTCAAGGATAGGTACATTAGCACGGTCAGTAAACATAAGAAATTAAAAATTGATATAAAATAATAATTAAATTTTTTTATTGATAATATAACTAATTATTATTACTTACAATTGACTCTGTAATATTTTTATCATTCGAAAGAGTTATAAATTAAATTTATCAAAAATATTTTTTTTATACATAAAATCGTGACAATAATCTTCAATTTATGATCATGTAGTTTACTATTTATCGACGCACATTTTTATACAATAACGAAATAACCTTACAATTTTTTAAAAAAATCATTAAATAACTTCAATATGTTCAAAACATATTCGGACATGTCTGAAACGTGTTTAAAAGTTAACAATAATATTTGTTTCACTTAATGTGAGATTTAATTGGTGGAGATCTAATGATTTGTGACTATTGGATAGATAATGAAGTTTATTAAATATTAAGACTTATTATTATACTTAATATTACAATGTATTATGTCATTAAATTAGGTATTAATATCATTGATCGAAAAATTAACAATCATTTAAATAACTGATGTCAATAAAACAAAATATTAAGGTAGACACAACTAAATATATTTAAATTTTATTTCAAAAAATACATGTCTAATATAAGGAAGAAAAAATTGAAGGAGTGCATGTGCCCACCCTAGTCCTAGGGTAGCTTTGCCCTCAAGTACAATCTAACATAATTGCACGATAAGAAATTTGAAATTATATCGTTCACATCTAACCGAGTTTGAAAAGATCTCTTCATGATCGGTCTATAATAATACGATTATCATTGTGCAATTGAGTTCGGAAATCTAATTCAAACATTTCTCATTCATTAGGATAATAAACCCAACTTACAACTACCGAGTGAAGTGATCTAATGAGATAATTTCTTGTTCTAAAATTAGAGGTTTTAATATTGGAGTTCGGTAATTGATCATTATAATAATTTAATTAAGTTCGTTCTCTAGAGTATTAACAGGCGTAATTAGAGACTTCATAATTCTACCAATAAAGATGTATCGATGGTCTCTAGATTCTTTTGCTTGCCCCAACCATTTTTTCCAAGAAAATAAAAAAATAAACGCAACTTTACAGCGAGGATGTTAGAGATTGTCCACCTTGTTTGTGTCTGGTCTACGGCAAAATCAAAGTCTTCCAAGTCGTCGTTTGTTTTCTTTCTTGCCGTTTCCGATGAATCTGGCAGGAAATTTCCAAGAAGAATTCGCTAAAAGTACCACCCCCATTTTTCAAATATAATAGTGCCCCTACCTTTATCTCTATTGACTAACCCAGCCAGTAGTAGTAGTCCATTCACATAGACCATCAAGTTGTTGCTATCTTGACGTAACTCTCAAGATGACTTACTGAATGAGGTCAAGTTTGTATGGAGGACCTGGTACCAAAAAAAAATTGGTAGTTTATTAATATTTAATATATTTATAGGTATTTTTATTACTATTTTTATTATTATTGTCGTAATATTGAAAAAATGGTAAAAATAACACCCTAAAAATACATACAAATGAGATAAATCACCTACAAAAGTGATAATTTTTTTTGTATAAAAAAAAGTGATAAAACTACTCACAATATAATAAATCACCTATAAAAATAATAATTCTTTTGATTGTAAAATAGCCCGTAAAAATTATAAAAAAATATCCATTAAAATAACAAATTTTAAAAGTATGATACGAATTTCTTGTTCGGACTCATCGAAGATCAACATTAGTATCGATGCAAACAATGTACAAATGACCCAATAATCATAGTTTAAGGGTCATGTATAATTTACTCTAATCATTTGTGTCATGTGAGTGATATACTTAGTCATTTTTCGTTAAAAGATTTAACCAAAATAAATAGAAGGATTCAATTGACACAATTAAAAAATTCATAAGCTTAATTAAAATAAAAAAATTAAAAATTTAATTAATATAAAAATCATAGTATGAATAATTTACTCTAAATGTCAATTCAGTATTGAAGGGGTTGCCGCGGGCGGCTCCATCAATGGAAGAGATTTGCTGAAAAATCAAATAAATTTATTAATTTACAATAATTTTAAACTTATTTATTAAATTACTATAATTTTTAAAAGCGGTACATACATGATCATACCCATGGTGTCTCTGTATGCGGAGTTATTTACCACATTGCGGTAAATTTTCAAATTTTATTATTGATTTATAGTATTTTCAAACTTAATTACCAAATTATGACACTGTTTAAAAACAAAATCAATAATACCACTTTTGTTTAAAAACAAGATCAATAATCTAATTTTTAAATAGAAAATGTGATCAATACTTTTAGTTGCAGTCATAATAGATGAAAAACTTGGAAAACGTGTTTACTAAATATAATTTTCACTTGTAACCCATAAAATTTTCGTATTTAAATCAGTATTTTATTTAAAAATAAAATTATTAAAAAGACGGACCATTAAATCAGCTTTCTAACAAAAGTAAAATAGTGACATAGTTTGATAATTAAGATAAAAAAAAATATCTTAAATCAATAATAAAATTTAAAAGATTATAAATTATGATAAAGAATAATGTTATTAAAATTTAATTTATTAATTTAATTCACTGTAATCTTTAAATTTAAAAATGAGTATTAATCCAATTATACCTATCAATGAACATCATATGTGTATGTTCTACGTTGACTAAAGATCTAGCACACCCCATAGTGCTATAAGTTTGAGACTTAAAACACATAACATGGCGTCAGACTCTTCTTCTTTACCGTCTTCTTCTTTGAAGAGCTCTGTTCTGTAGTTTTGGCAATGGAGTTTTATTACCCAGGAAGTTATTCACAAAAATGGTTTCAATTCTCATGGTTCCGTACTTTCTTGTTCCTCTTCCTCTTCACCATCTTCTCCACTACCTCAGTGTCTTCTTCTACAGCTCCAAAAATCTCTTACAGTGTTCACTGTGCGTCTTTCATCCCTGAGTCGACCTCAGCCGTTGCCGGCAACTCCACCTATCCTTTTTTAAGAACGGCGATCACTTACTTCTCCGGCGGTGAGAGAATTCTTGGCCGAATATCACCTGATCGGTTCCTTAACTTTTCCGACGAGACTCTCTCGTTTAGTACGAGAATTATGTATAAAACCAACGTAAGTGGGGTTTACTGGATTGTAGCGAACTTGATCTTCCTATCCTCGAACATGTACTATATTCCATCAAATTCAAGGAATGGTTTCTCTTACCATCATCGGAATCGTTCGGGGGTCGACTCATTGAGGTTTCGGCTAAATGGGTTCTATTCAGAATCTTCTGGGAAGCTCTGCGCCACAGGATCGCCCCTTCGGTACTTCAGAAATGGTAAGTCTGTCAAACTTGAAGCTGTTCTTAAACTAAACTATGCCAAAAATCAAACCATCTTTACTAGCTTGATCGGTGGGAAATTGAACAGTTTGAGTTCTCCTAATGATCCGAATTACTTTGATCCAATTTCAATACTCACGTTTTCCCAAACAACCCAGTACGATTACACACTGGTTTCAAAGGAATTCGATGAAGGTTGTCCTGGTGGAATTGATATTCCACAAACCCAATCACTTAGTTTGCAACCAAGAAGAATCTGTTCGATCCTCTCAAGGCCATATAATACTTTTTATTTGGAGTACGTAAGGGACTGCAAGTCTCTAAAAGATTGTACTCCTTTTGGTGGGGTTATTGGGTTTTTGCCTCGGCTCTTATCATTGTACGCAATTCAGTGTTCTGAGGATGAACCAAAGTTTCGATTTCTGATTAGATTTCCAGCAAGAAACTATGATGCTTATTCCTATTCCCAATCTTTTCATCCGAACACAACCTTGGTTGGGGAAGGATCATGGGATGAGAAGAAGAATCGACTGTGTATTGTTGCTTGCCGAATCTTAAATCCCATGGGTTCGAAGAGGAGTGCCCAAGTTGGAGATTGTTCAATCAGGTTGAGCTTGAGCTATCCTGCAATTTGGACAATCAGAAATAGTTCAACCATTATTGGACAAATTTGGACGAACAAGACTGTAAAGGATTCTGGGTACTTCGAAAGGATCGTGTTTAGGGGTTCTGAAAACATTATAGAGAAGCTTCCAGGATTGAAATATGAGTATACTGAAACTGAAAGAGTAAGACCATCATGCCGAGTAGAGAAGGTTGTGAAGAAGAACAAGGGGGAAAGTTATCCTGACGGGCATTCTTATGATATGAGGTTTGACATGTCGGTTAAAGATTCTAAAGGAAAATCTACTTGGGGTTATGCAGTCCCTATTGCTGTGGGTGATCAGTTCTATGAGAGGGGATTGCAGACCATGTCTGCCTCCGCACCGGCAAATGAGGGGTGGGCAATCCCGGAAGAGGCCCAGGTAATTCCAGAGGCAGTTGAGAAAAACAGCAGCTTTAGAAGCCCCTTGAATATCAGCTACAGAATAAGCTTTACTCCTTTTGTGGGTGATGGGTTCTCTTCATTTAACTTATCTTTGAGGCCCGATGGTCCAGTGGAAATTACTGCTGAAGGAGTCTATGATGGTGAAACAGGACGACTCTGCATGGTAGGCTGCAGAAAGCTTGGTTCATTCATTCAGAACTCAACAAATGAAGCTGTAGACTGTGAGATTCTTCTGAGTATTCAGTTCCCTCCACTTAATTCCAGGAATGGGGATTCTATCAAGGGCAAAATCGAAAGCACCCGGAAAAAAACTGACCCTCTTTATTTTGAGCACTTCAGCATGTCCTCAACTTCTTTCTATCTTGAACAAGCTCAACAATCCATATGGAGGATGGATTTAGAGATCACCATGGTTTTGATCTCTAATACCCTTGCATGCCTCTTTGTGATATTGCAGCTGTTTTATGTGAAAAAGAACCCTGATGTGCTTCCTTATGTTTCACTTCTCATGCTTGTAATCCTTACCCTGGGGTACATGATCCCTCTTGTGCTAAACTTTGAAGCCCTCTTCTCCAAAAATCCCAATCGGCAAAATGTAGATTTCGGGAGTGGCGGATGGCTTGAAGTTAACGAGGTGCTCGTAAGGGTGGTTACTATGGTGGCCTTCCTCCTGCAGTTCCGCCTCCTCCAACTGGCGTGGAGTGCACAATTCGGGGGTGGGAATGAAAAGGGCCAGTGGATTGCTGAAATGAGGGCTCTGTTAGTCTCTTTACCATTGTACATTGTGGGAGGATTGATTGCCTTGTTTGTGAATTTCAACCAGAACAAATACAGCAGTACTGTTTATGTTTTTTCCAATGGTGTTTATCAACAGCCCTCCCTTTGGAGGGACTTAAGGTCCTATGGTGGTTTGGTCCTTGATGGCTTCCTCTTCCCCCAGATCCTTCTCAACATCTTCAGTGGTTCATCAGAAAGTGCTTTGTCCCGGTCATTCTATATCGGAACCACCTTTGTTCGGTTGCTGCCCCATGGATATGATCTTTACAGGGCTCACAATTATGCTCAGCGCCATTTTTATGGAGCATACATTTATGCAAATCCTAGTGCAGATTTCTACTCCGCTGCTTGGGATGTGATTATACCTTGTGGAGGTATACTGTTTTCGGTGATCATTTTCTTGCAGCAGAGATTTGGTGGTCGTTGTGTTCTTCCCCGGAGATTCAGAGGGTTGGCAGTGTATGAGAAGGTGCCTGTAGTTGCCACTGATCAGTGATTGTTTACATAAATTAGCATCTCAAGTTTATGTTGTTTTATGTTGTATTTCCTAAATTCTGTTGTATGGACTTTTTGACTCATGAGATTGGTACTAAAAGCTTCCTCTTAAGGACCATCGTCAATCAGTTCAGAACTAACTTGCAGCATTGAAGGTGTACACGGTATGAAATTAATTTATTGACATAATTTATTATAATTATTAAATTAATTATAAATTTTATTAAATATTAAAATTTAATGATAACAATAAAACTACTTCAGGTTAAATTTTTTGGCTCAGCATTACTCGTTTCTACGTGGCTCTCTAAATGACACGTGTCATATCTTGGGTCTTTCCAGAAGCTCCAACTTCTGAAACCCTAGGCTAAACCCTCCCTCCCACCGTATATATAGCAAACCCCTTCAAACCTCCCCCAATCGCCTCCATCAAGAGTTCATATCAGATAAAGAGAGTGGGAGACAGAGAGCAAGTGAGAGAGGGATGTCAAGCTCACCGGCTTCCATGGCGGCATACAGAATGATACGATTCGGCAAGTCTTCATTTCACCGCCTATTTCACAGCCACCATTGCAGCCCCACCGCCACCTCCGCCGCGATACAGTTGATTGACAATGCTGCTGAACCTCGCACGACGCATCGATTTTCTGTTGAACTCCCCAATCCATTTACGGTTCAACTTCACGAACTCCGACCGTACCAAAACAATTTGGTTCCTCCAATCGATGTACAGTATCATGCGGCAACTTTCCCTTCGGTCGATCGATCTCGTGTCGAGGTACGTGGCCGTCCGATCAAGATTGATGATGATATAAAATATGAGGATCCTGATAGCGACGATGACGATGACGATAACGATGATGATATTGATATTGAGGGTTTGAGTGATATAGAAGATTTTGATGATGACGCAGAAGTTGATGAAACAGTTCGTCGTCGTCTCAGGAAATGAATGTAATCTTTCCTTTGATTGCTGTTCATCTTCAGTTTATGAGTTTTATATCCCTTTTTCCGATGAGTGAGAAATGTAGAATGGATGAACTGCAAGCCTTTGATTTGCCTCTGTTTCTGTTTAATCTATAGATCAAATTGTATTTTGCACTTGCAGATTCGATCTTTTACGTTGCACTTCTGAACGTATTAAAAGCATTGTAATATATTTTTTTTCTTTTTTCGGCTATTAAAGAAAGCGGTGGGGGCAAAAGGAGAGCGTCAGAGATTCATCAGTGCGAAGACCTAATAAAAGGATTATACAGGGTGCAAAGTGTGATTTTTGGCCCCCAAAGGTAATTTTTTTTTAGGGTTAGTCTCATTTTGCACCTCGAAAAATTGTTCGAATCTCAATTTACACCCTCAAAGATCAAAAATCTCAATTTACACTCTCAAAGATAGAAATTTGTATCAATGTGCACTCCCAAAGATCAAAAATCTCAATTTGCACCCTCAAAGATAGAAATTTGTATCAATGTGTATCCCCAAAGATAAAAAATTTTAATTTGCACCTTCAAAGATAGAAATTTGTATCAATGTGCACTTAAAATTAAATTAATAAATTATACCTTGATCCCCTCATGTTTGTCACTTAATCATTTGAACTCCTTCACATTTAGAATATTTCCCTTACATCTCATGACGTTTATGCATGTGTAGCACATAACCACTTTTCGTTGATATATATTAATATAATTGTTAAAAAATATGATTTTATCCTAATATAAAATTATAATTTTATATTACCTTTTATTTTGTGGATTCGATATACTCTAAAGTTGAAAATCAAGTTTACCATTTGAATATCTAATAAAATGTAGATATTTATATAAAAGGTAATATCTAAAATATTATATAAATATTTATATTTTATTAGACATTCAAATGGTAAACTAGATTTTGAACTTTATAGTATATTGAACCTATAAAATAAAGGGTAATATGAAATTATAATTTTTTATTAGAATAAAATTATATTTTTTAACGGTTATATTAATAGATATCAATGAAAATGAGTTACGTGTTATACGTGCACAAATGTCATAAGATGTAGGAGTAATATTCTAAATGTGAAGAGGTCTAAATGATTAACTGACAAATATGAGGGGATTTAGTTATAATTTATCAATTTAATTTTAGGTGCACATTGATATAAATTTCTATCTTTGAGGGTGTAAATTGAGATTTTTTATCTTTGGGGTACACATTGATATAAATTTCTATCTTTGAGGGTGCAAATTGAGATTTTTGATCTTTGGGGGTGCATATTGATACAAATTTCTATCTTTGATGGTGTAAATTGAGATTTTTGATCTTTGAGGGTATAAATTGAGATTCGAACAATCTTTCGGGGTGCAAAATAAGATTAACCCTTTTTTTTAACATTACATATTCAATGTTGCAATATTTTGTAGAATAAGTAACAAAAGTTAATTGAAAGATTACTTTGCAATATTTTAATAATATTAAAAAATATATTAAAAGTATAATATAAAAAATTTAATCAATAAAAGTGTAAAGTGAAAACTCTTAAATTTTTTGGGGTTAAAAATATAATTTCTCCTAAATTGTAACAATGATTCAAGAAATTTGACAGCATTTTTAAAATTAGCAATGTTATGGGAAAACTTAAATTTAGGACCATGACTATTCTGATTTGGGTATTAAATGAAGCCCGATAATGCATTAATATTTTAAATCTATAATATAAAAGAGAATTATATTTAGACCCTCCCCGACATTTGAAATATTATACACAAACTTTTTGAAGTTCGTACACACGTAACATTAAGACACTTGCTGCCAAATATTTCGTAATATATCCGTTAGTAAATTATATTCAAATTTTTTAAAGTTTGTAGGCGTATAATATTTAGATCCCTTAAGTTTAAAATATTATACCTACACAAAAAATACTCTAATAAAAAATATAATATTAAATATTTTAAATTTTAAAATTTAAAATCGTAATTAGTATACAATTATACTATCTATTAGAATAAAACTAAAAAATCAAACAAGAAGTCTAAGTCATTCATAATAGAACATGAATTTTACAACTAAAATTCATGTTCTATTATGTCATTTATTGACATAAAATTAAAAATAAAATCTAATTTTTCTTAAAAAATCATAATTAGTATACAATTAATTGGAATAAAAATGAAAAAAATCAAACAAAGGGTTAAATTGTAATGGACACAATATATTCTAACTTTAATCGAGGTAATTTGGTAGTTTAATTTGGTGGATTAAATGACTAAATTAAATTTCAATAGATAATATAATTATATACTAATTATAATTTTTTAAGAAAAAAATTATTTTTTAATTTTTAATTTTATTTCAATAAATATTATAATAGAACGTGAATTTTTGTTGTAAAATTTAAAATATTTGATATTTTATCTTTGATTGAAGTATTTTTTGTCTAAATATAACATTTTAAACTTGAAAAGTCTAATTATTACATGAAACTTTAGGGAGTTTGGATATAATTTATTGGACATTAACGACAAGAGTTTAAATATTATGCATGTAAAAGCTTTAAGAGGTTTGTGTGTAATATTTTAAATGTCAAAGAAGTTTTGTAGGCTATTAGAAAATGGATATCTAAATCAACAAATAAATTTTGTTGCATCATTTTTTTTTCTAAAAAAGTATGAAGTATAACCGTGATATCACGTCTGTCGTCACTAATTTGTATTAAAATCATATAATAATAAGATATTAAATGATGATACGGTAGCTCACGGATACTTAACCATACAATTTACAAATTAACTTGGATTTTGATGATGTGCCAATTAATATAATTTAGTAATATCGTCATTGTAATCGTAAGTTTTTGACCTTTTTATTGGAAACATTTTAACTAATACATTTTTGGGATAACATGTTAGGCGATATTCTTAAATCTTATATGTTTAAAATATTTTTCGATCTCGCGAGTTAATTCGATGAAATAGTGAATTGACCGCTAAATTGGGCCAATTATTATAGTAGATAGTTTGAGCCTAAAAATTGAAAAATTAGATTTAAAAATTAAATTTTATAATCTCAACCGTTAAATAGATAATGAGTCTCAATAAATATTGAGATCCATAGTGAAATTAATGGTTCTAATTATCAAATTTACTTTTTAAGTCTACGTAACATTGCTTTTTTTTTTTTTTTTTTTGTCATTAGACGGTTTGTTAACAAGGGTTTTAGCCATTTTTGCCCTAAGCCCCTAATCGTTTCTTTCTTCTTTGTTGCGCCTCTGGCCCGATGACTCTCACTCAGTCATCTCTCTCTCTCTCTCTTGTGCTGTGACTCAAGTAAAGTGTCGAAGTCGAAGTCGAAGTCGAATAGAAGACAGGACAAGACTCACTTAGATCTTCATTGACAATTTGATTCACCCCTCGTTCTATGCGCATTTCATTCACTTGAAACACAGCAGGTACATCCTCTCTCTCTCTTTATGATAACACACAGTCCCACTTCTATCAAATAGATATCTAATAATTTTAAACTTCAACAAGATGTACATAACTTTTATCTTCGGGTTTGGGGCCAGCAACTCGGATTTATGATTTTCCCAACTGATTCGTATATAAAATTTAATTTGGTTTAGTTTGATAACTTCCACTTCTAATTTTTGTGTAACATAGTCTGCTACCTAAAATAGTCTTTCGTCTTCCTATCCGGTTATCCGATATTTTACAGAATAATTTTTTTTTGACCTAACTTACCCAATCAGGTGTGATATTCTTACCCGACTTCCTACCCGATTAATAGGAAGTCGGATAGAAAATCACATAAACACTTTTTTAACTATTAATTTTTGAATCATTTTAATAATTTAATTAAATAACATACACAAATTTAACAACGCAATAAACCAATAACACTAAAATCTAAAACAACTACAACAACAATTACAATAAAAAACAAAAAAGCATGAACATCAATCTATCATAATTGTTACACAAATACAATAACAATTATTTTAAATTTAAACCATATAAAACACGTTAAAGTTATAACTGCTCCAATAGATCACCAGTTGATCACAAATCAAGTAACTTACACAAAAAATAAGTCTATGTTTTAACAAGTCAAACATCCACAACAATAATAATGTTATAATATAAATTATATTACATAAATAATCTTATAATTAATAAAAATATATAAAAAAATTTAATATATTTTTTGCGGGTAGGGTAGAATAGAAATGCGAAAATTGATGGATATTTCGCATTCTTATCTGATTTAATCGAAAAATCAAAAATTCTTCCGCATTTTTACCTAATTTTTTTGACTAACCGTTCAGTAGGGTAGGATAAGGTCGGATCATAAATTACGACCAATCAAAAATTTGAACACTGCTAGTTAACTCGGTGGCCTCAACTGATATTGTAAACTTAAAAGCTGATTATTTGATTAACAATTGAATGTATTGAATGCATTGTTTGATAATTTTTGAATTTTTGAATTTTTGTTTGCTCTAATATATATATTTTTAAGCTATTGTCATAATTATTGCAATTTTTAATTAATTTATTATTATTATTATTAATTATTTTTTATTATATTACCGGACCAACCCAATCCAACTGTTGAATTAATGACCATTAAGCCGATTGTTTCCGGGTCAGATTCTGGGTTGATGTCCAAGGTATGTTTGTGTACTCTTTTTCGTCCGATAATAAACTTGACGGACACGAAAATGTCAAATAATTGAGCTGATCTAGATCCAACGGGAACGTATCTAGCACGTTCAGTTCCTCACTGAAGTACCCTCCCTTCTCTCTCTGCGCGCCGCGCCTAACCCAGAATTCAGATTCAAGCAAACATGAACCCAATGTCGATCTGCACTTCGTCGTCCTCGTCATCCTCAAGTTCAACCAAATTATGGATCGTGCACGGCGTGGCAGTCGGAGCTGCGGTTGCGGTGGCTCTCGGCGCTTATCTCCACCGATCGAGCAAGTTGCGAAGCCGGGTCGTCGGAATTATACCTGCCCGTTTCGCTTCTTCTCGGTTTCAAGGCAAGCCTCTTGTTCAGATCCTCGGAAAGCCCATGATACAGGTATATTTTGACACTGATATTTATCGCCTTCATTCGAAATTGTTTCTTTGCTGTTCATCATTTTTCAGTGAATTCTTTATTGTCATTCTCATTGGAGTCTAAATGTTCACTGCTATGCAAATTTGCATTATTAGAAGCATATAGTGGAGGAACCGCTGAAATTTTCCTGGTTCGAGCATTTAAAATAAGAATATCAAACATCCCTAAATGGCAATTCTAACACCAAGAAAGGGTGTGGCCTTAAAAATTTGGCGAAGACGATGATGTCCAGAGACTTCTGAAATTAATTATGCTTTTGTTTGGCACGATGGAACAATAGAAGGACGGCAGAATATATAAAATATCATGGTAAGAAAAGGAAAAAAAAGGGATGAAAAAGGGGATGGATTGACCTTTCTTCTAGCTTATCAAAATCTATTATTTCAAAATTAGGAGGAAAAGAGCATGAAATTAATTATGTGTGTTAATATTTATGTTATTTATATTTATATTCTTTAATAATATATGCATATATCTTATTTATCTATTATATATTATGTACATATTAATTTCACATCTATAGATATAATAGTAAAACACACATCTATAAATTTTTCATCTTTCTACATTTCATCTAATCAAACACCAAAAAATCAATCCTTCTTATTTCATCCCTTCTTCTACCAAACACAAGAAAGAAGGAATGATTTCTCTTTTGAAACACGTTCTATCTCTCCATTTTTCTATCCACCATACCAAGCACTAAGGAAAATGGAAATTTTGTTCCCTGTCTTTAATTTCACTAAGCATTTTTTGGTTCCAAACAGTACTTTTGACACTTAAATATCAATAGTCATTATTGCATATGTGTCTCTCACCCCATTACTTAAATCTCCTGCAGAGAACTTGGGAAAGAGCAAAACTGGCCGCTACACTGGATCGTGTTGGTATGAATTGAGCTTCATGTGTTTTTATTTGTTCTAGTGTTGGGGTTCTTTGTTCCACATAACATGCCACATGATCCGGACCAAAATATAATATGCTAATGTGCTTGAGTCAAATTTGGTACTCGGACAATAAAATGTGGTATGTGAAGCTATATACTTAAATTTGATTGATTTTTGTTGTGGCCCTGTAATATTTGATCTTTATTTTAGGTAGTTCATGCACTCCTCTTGCTTGTTTTATTTCTAGTTAGGGCATCTTCTCCAACTCTGAATGTTTGCAAAAAGTTGAGAAATTGTATAGAGGAAAATAAATGATGGATGATAAGTCTAGAAGAACAATTACCTCTTTCTTCTCAATGAACAAATTACAGTGGAACTGGAACTTTAGAGGTTGCTATACTTATGGTTCTTAGGTTGGACAAGTCTCTGCAATTTATTTTTTTGTCTATTGTCCATGGGAAAACTTGAAGCATCTAGAATAGTGTTGCATATCTTATCCCTTATCAAGAGAGATAAGAAAAGACAGTGCTGCATTGAGGATGGACAGGACTTCTGAGCATCGCTGCATATAACAATTCTTCACACCCTTCTCTCTCTCTCTCTCTGGTTTGGGTGATTTCTCATTTTAGTTTCTTCCTGCTCTAGTGGTGGCAACGGATGATGAAAAAATTGCTGAATGTTGTCGAGGATTTGGTGCTGATGTGATAATGACATCAGAATCTTGCCGCAATGGTAAGAGACATTGTCTTAATGGAAAAATACAAAAACTGTCTTTGGATTTGAACGTAGCTAATTGTCAAATCGACAGGTACAGAACGGTGCAATGAAGCGCTTCAAAAGCTTGAGAAGAAATATGATATTATAGTCAATATTCAGGGGGATGAGCCTCTAATTGAACCGGAAGTAATCGATGGGGTAGTCAAAGCACTGCAGGTAAATATACTTCTATTGCATTTGCTTCACAATGCAGCATCACTTCCCCCTCATGCAAGAAGAGTTCAGATTATTGGTATGTTTCTTATTTAATTTCATTTGAACTATCTGGTTCTCTGCAGGCTGCCCCTGATGCTGTGTTCAGCACTGCAGTGACATCTTTGAAACCTGAAGATGCATTCGATCCAAATCGGGTGAAATGCGTAGTAGATAATCGTGGTTATGCAATCTATTTCTCAAGGGGACTGATTCCATTTAACAAGTTTGTATTTTGTAATATTTATCTGGTTTTTGTGCTACTTTTTTTTATTTTATTTTAATGCTGCACAGTGTAACACAATGAATTTGTCTGCCTGTGTGCAGGTCAGGGAAGGTCAATGCTCAGTTCCCATATTTGCTTCACCTAGGAATCGCGGTACTAATCTGGCTTCTTTCAAATGAAGGCTTTTTTCTTTTATCTAAATTGTTTAAGGTGTTTTGTCCGATTGAATTTTGCCCTTATCATTTAATAGCTGCAACCAATTTTTTTTTTTTAATCAAATGTCCATCCAGAGCTACGATTCAAAGTTCCTCAAGATATATCCAGAGCTGTCACCTACTCCATTGCAACTGGAGGAAGACCTTGAACAACTAAAAGTCCTCGAGAATGGGTACAAGATGAAGGTATCAGTAATGTTTTCCTCCATTCTTTATTCCTTTGATTGATATGCAATCTTTCACTAAATTCTGACATTTCATTGCTTTGAGAGAACGTTATGAGCATTTTAACGATGCATAGACATCAATCTTTTCATTTTGTTCTTTTCTATCCCTCTTAGTTAACTTTTTTTATTTTTGGCGTTTACAGTTTGTTTTCGCCAATCTTTTAGAGAAGGAAGGTCTTTGGAAAATTTTGTACAATTGTTGGATTGACCTTGGAATTGAATGTGAATCATTTCTATAACATCTGTCTAAATTTCCTCGAAAGAATTAATTTTTGAAAGTTCAAATGTTTACATCTTGTATGGTGCATACTAGTAACAGTGTTGGAGCATTATGAGAACACAACCACCTCTTGGAAATGGGTGATGCCAGTTAGATAAGTTTATTTTGGTCAGGAGAGTGAATGCTAGGGTGTTTTTGCTATAGCAATAGAAAAAACTATCCCTGGATGGGGATGTAAATTCTGGAATTTTCATACAAATTTCTCCAAAATTATTGAGCTATGTCTGCAAATTGTTTGAAAAACTTCTGCTACTCTGAACATGACTTCTCATGCCACTCTAACTTGTTTTATTTCGCCTCCTGAATCTTTTGTTTTCCATCTTGTGATTGGGCACCTACTTATCTGTGTTCCTAAATATTATCATTTGGGTTTTAATTGGTTCCAGAGTAGCGTTCTTGCATCTGATGTTGGAGTGCACTTGCTTGCTTTAAAACATTATGCCTTTTTTTTTTTTTTTTCTGCCAACCATTTGAGTTGATGTAAAGTGTAAATCCAAGGTAACGAATTGACTTGGTCTTGTTTTACCTGTTTTTTAGAGGCTTTGTTCCACTAAAATATTGAAATCTTCTCAAAACCCACCTTTTTTTCTCTTTTTGTTGAGGCTGTGCTATTGCCATGGTGTGGTAATTTCTCTAAATAGAAGACCTAAAGTTGGATTCACAGATGGTTGCATATTTTCCTTTCGAGCACTGTTATGCTGTCCAAATCAAAACCCAAAGTTTTCATTCCAAATGCGTGTGCACCATAAATATCATTTTGTGGGTTCCAAAAAATCAGTTTTTTTACTCAACGTGTCGTGTAAATACATTTAGGATAGAAGATTTATATTTTAAGAAAGGCAACATAGCATTATTGTTAGATCAAAAATTCACATATTCTTCTGTTTACAGGTGATAAAGGTTGACCATGAGGTTCATGGAGTTGACACCCCAGAGGATGTTGAAAAGATAGAAAGTTTCATGCTTGAAAGGAACTTGTCTTAGTTTTGGCAATGCAAATTGTCTGTAAAGGTGTGTGTTATAGACTTACAGTAAAAACTATTAGTCAATCTTGTAGACTTTTTACATTATAGAGTTAAAAGAATCTACCTACTTCAATAACTCTTATTTGGGTCCAATGTTTCCCATACCCAGAAAGCTTAATCTTTTAGTTTCTTGTTACAGTTTTTTGGTTGGGTATCTAGAATGAATGAATGAAATCGATTAATTTTGAAAACTCTTGGAGAGAGATCCCTCTGTGGACTGACTAAAACTTTCATCATATGATAATTCTTGTTGGGGTACCTCTTTATAGTCCAATCTTCATCATTGTCGACGAATTTTTTTTTTTTGGGAAACGGGTGAAATCCTTGGTGTGTCTTCGATAAGTAGAGATGTGCTTATGTCGTTCAGGCTTGTAAGTTGAAGTAAATTTGATTGTACGAATGTTATTCCTTCATTATGCTTTATTAGAAGTTTAATTTTCGAAATTCATAAATAATAGAGTAAGCATAGCTGTCAAAGTAACCAAATTGGAGTTTTTCTTATTTCTGGGTATGTGTTTCTTGTTTCATGACTTCATAGAAAAATTCTTCAAAATGTGTAGTTAAATCAATGGTGAGAAAGAAGAGGGCCATTCCAGCCATTTAATGAACAAAATGAAGACGACAAGGGTGGAGTAGTTGAACAGCATTGTCTTCTCTGTCCAAGGATAAGAAAGGATATGAAAGTGAGGAAGAAGATGCTTAAAATAAAGGAAAAATAATACCAAATGATGACATAAGAAAGTTGAAAGCACAGTAATTGTTAAAATTAATCAAGTTTTTATCTATTTTAATTTAATTGTATAAAATTCATTTTAAAATTAATATTTCAGCCCAAAAACATTATATTCTCCGCACTACCCCTAATATCAAATAATTCAACATGCATACTTCTCTCTCTATGTCAAATAATCTCATTAATCCATACTTATCTCTCTCCCCTACTTATCTCTTATTTTATCACTTTTAACTTTAATTTTAAATTGAATAATTAAAAAAGAATAAAAGAATAAATAAGGGTTTATAGCACTTTTGATTCTTAAAATATGTATTTTTTGTCAATTTAATCTCTAAAGTATCAATTTTGTCAATTTGGTCCTTAAAGTATTCAATTTATGTCATTTTAGTTCTTACGCAGACGGATCATTAAGTTTTTTGACGGAAGTGACCATGTGTCATGCAATCTGATGGTATCACGTGATTAACACATAATAATTTTGTCTAAAAAATTAACAGTTCATCTGTTTAAGGACTAAAATGACATGAATTGAATATTTTAGAAAAAAAATCGACAAAATTAATATTTTAGGGACTAAATTGATAAAAAAATGCATACTTTACGTATAAAAATATTATTAATCCAAAAAAATAATTTACTATTGAAAGTATAAATATTACAAAATTTGTGTCCCATTTTTTATATTAGAAAGTGTGTTGAGATATGAGTTATTGGTAGTACAGAGACATTCCTCTTCCATTCCATCTCTCTGTTTCATTAAATAGATGTACAATTTGAAGTTTGCTTCTTCGTTTTTTTTTTTTTTTTTTTAAATATTATCGATCACCGACAAGACCGAAACAGATTGATCTTTGAAAATAGGAATTCGTTGACACGATTAATCGATGCGAATTAAGTGAGTTTTGTTGAGACCTTAATGGATTCGGATATTAAACGAGTTAACCTGTTTAACACGTTTAATAAACTAGTCGTATTCGGGTGAGTCTTGTCAATTCATTTATCACCCGTTTATTAGTTTAAATAAAATTAATATAATAATAAATTAATAATTATTTTGAAAAATTATGCAGATTTTTTTTAGTGATAGCCACAGATTTTTTTTTTTTTTTTTAATTTAGTGATAGCCACAAAACATATAATAATAAACTAATAATAAATTAAAATTAAGTGTGTTAAACGAGTGGTATCGTGTTATCCGTTTATTAAAGGATTCGTGTTCGTATTGAGGTTTTTCGCTAGTTTATTAAACAGGGTCGTATATGAGTTTACATGTTTTTCACTCGTCACCTGTCTAACCCGATACATTTGACACTCTTATATCTTCTATTACTCATTTTGTTCAATTTTATATTCTTTTTAAAAAAAAAACACCCTTTCAAAATAAGATCATTTTAAACTTATTTCTGCGAACAATTACAATCAGCAGCAAATCTTTAATTATATAACGCGAGAAAAGTTGGAAGAATTAATGTACCAAACTTTGAATATGCTCGCTATGAATTTTTTTAAAAATTTAATTCTAGTATAAATCAGATTACTTTCAGGTCTACAATGCTATTATATCTTTTTGAGGCATAAGAAAAAGTGGATAAACCTAGCTCGAAAACGGGCATTTATGTCATGAAAAGGCCAACCAACTCCATGGGTGGTTCCGTAATCAAAGCAGGTGGACCTCCGTCTTGAAGAGAAGAAAAGACAATGAGTCCAGAGAGAAATAAACAAACCCACCTGGTGAGTGCGTCACAAACGACCCGAAACTCTTTCCCACCACACAGTGCCATGCCGGCCCATACACCGAGTCAAACTCCTGATGAACACACACAACCCAATATCACTCATTACGAAAAGGACAATTCAATTTTTGTCTGGAGAGAGAGAGAGAGGATAGGGACCTTTTTGAGGGCGCGAGCGAGGACGGTGGGGTTGGGGCGGTGGTGGTTCAGGTTGTGATCGGCGACGGCGAGTGATCGCGTGTAGCGCAAGGCACGTTCTTGCATAGTGACTGGCATGTCGGCTGATCTCAAGCGTATGTTCAGAGTGATTGCTAGAGCGGCTAGTTTGACCTCTTCCGGTGGAGACCTATCGGCGTTTTTCTCCAATATTCTGCCAACGACTTGCCTCTCCTTCCATTGACTCTGTTGCTTCTCCATCAGAGAGAGAGAGAGAGAGGGAGAGGATGAAGTTGGTGGAAAGAAAGAATAAGATTGACTCTGAGGCCCGGGGAGAAAAGAATGAGAGAGCGTCCACGAAAGAAGAATCTATTTGGAATGCAGTCACAGAGTGGTTTGGTTAGGCGAGGGAGGAAGAAACACAAGGTTTGAAAAACTTTGACTGAAAATATTTTTCTAATTCTGTGTGCGTTTTGCCCCCACACACGAGAAAGGCATGGAAGTAGCACCGGAAAAAATAGAGTAAAAAAATTTGGATCTAAATATTTGATCTATTTATTGACATAATTACGTGACTTCAACAGGATTATTGAATCAACATCAAATTTCAATGTTTGATGGACTCCACACTCAGTGAATTAAATGAATAAATTAAGTGCAATAACTCGAAAAAAAATTTTGGTAACGGAAACGTTTATTAATTGGTAAGTAAAGAAGTAAATCGAATAGTGTGCAGGGGTGACAGTCCATTGGGGATGGGCCAATTTGGACCGTAACGTCGTAACTCGTGGATAACACGATAGTCCAGCAAGGAATTTCCTTGTGAATTTTGGCCCAATTTGGGACAGTAAGTGCTATCAGGTGGGCCCAAAATACAATTCCTTGGGAAGATAAAATTTAGAAAATAAAAACTATGCTCTTTTGAAGCCAATACACTAAATTAGATATAATATACAGAAAAAAAATGTATTATAAAGAAATGCGTTGTTGAGATACAAAGACTTAATTATCCATTTTTTAAAATTTAATTTCCTAAAAATAGTTTTACGAATAAATTTTAACATTAATTAGGTGCACAGTGATAAGACTTAACCGCTGAATTTTATGAACATTATTTTTTCTAAAAACGGTTTTAAGAATATATCTTAAAATTAATTTGGTATATAGTGATAAGGTATAATTGCTGGATTTTAGGAATATTAATTCACAAAAAATTTCATCTCTTGAAAAACGGTTATCGTTTCTTCTTCCTATCCAAAAATTGCTTTATTTTTCTTGGTTAGAAGCCCTAAATCGTTCCCTAAATATCTATAGAGTTTCGTCTTTAAAAGGAAAAATCTACTAGTCCGGAAGTTTGTCTGTGCTTCCCATATAATGTAACAAAGACAATGTAACAATACAGTGTAACACTGTAATACAAATAGTGTTCAGTGTTTTTGTGGATGTGGTAACAAGTTTAAAACATAGTTAGATTATTATAATAAAAATTATATGCAAATATATGTTTGACAAAATGTAAAAATATAGTGTTTTTGTAAAAAAAATTTTACACTATAAATGCACATATGTTATGAACTTCAGTTAGAGTGTTTGCATATTAAAAGACAGTATAATCACATTTAAAATGACAGACATAAACCTAATGGAGTCATAAACTCAAACCTTGTAATTGCTTAGATTAAATTATAAGGATTAAATAATATTTTTCAGACTTGCACTGATAAAATGCTTATATGCCAAAGAAGAAGATAACAAATGATACTGTTACAAAAATTAAAATTCAAACCAATTAATTTATCCTCAAAATAAACGGAAGAATCAAATTTTTCATTAAATTAGGATATTTTTAATGCATAAATATAATTTGAAAAAAAAAACAGTTTTTAAAAAATAATCGCATAATTTAAGGGAGGACACAAATATCAAAGGAACATTCGTAAATTTCAAATTATGTACTTATATACAATTAATATCTAAATTTAAAGACTTCTTTACTTTATATTTTTTTCTGTATGTTTTTTTATAATTAAACCCAATTTAGTATACCCTTTCCAATTTACCGTAAAAACTATTTTTAATCTAAAAAAAATAGATTCATACGATTGGCTGGATGAACAAGTCATGATCCAAAACTTCTTTGTCCTGACCTAGCTCTATTGGGCTCTCAGCTGCATGGGTGGGCTCGGCCCATTATGAGATTTGAACTTGAATGGGCTGAGAAATCTAAAAGCTGAATCCTCAAAGGCCCAAAAGTCCAGGAACCAATCGAAGGGATGATATGTGTGAAAATGGCAAGTGAGAGGCACGTGATGCGTGACCGCAACTGAGAGGAGAGAGAGAGAGAGAGAGAGAGAGAGAGACCACTCATCCATCCCACAGCTCTATCATCTCATCCACTAGAGCAATTAATATCCAAACAAACACCAACCAGCCACCGAACCCTCGCTCTCTCTCCTGTCTCTGCCAAAATTCAAAACCTCTCAGATCTGCAATTCTCTCTCTTCTCCTCTGTATAGCTTCAGTCCGATGGCTGGCGTGCTCGAAACCTTCGCTGTCCCTCGCGCTTCGGCTATGCCAGCGGTCTCGTTTTTTCCGATTTTCAGTTCATCGGTTTTTACACTGTCTGGACGCACACGATCTTCTAGATTGCCGGATTTTAGAGGCCTTAAGATCCAATCGACTCGGTCCTCAGCATCGGTGAGTTCGAACTCGAGACTTGTTCGCCGTGGAGGACGAATTGTGTGCGAGGCTCAGGAGACCGCCATTCAAGGTTTGGACTGATGATCACTGATCTATGTTCTCACTCATATATGCGTGTGTGTGTGTGTATATGTGTGTGTGTATATATATATATATATATATATATATATATATATATATATATGTGTGCGCGCCCGTGCAAAGGATAGTACTGTATATGAAACTCAAGGTTGATTGAAAACGACTAGTATGTTTATTGATGTTTGAGAGGGAATAATAATTCACTTTTGTAGCTGTTAATTTGAGCCTTTTAATTGATTCACTTACTTAAGCCAGTGCTCATTCTAGACGGCCAAACTGTAGTTTGAGCTTATTGAAGATGACAATGGAGCCCAAAATTTGGAGATTCTTATGGTTTACTACTGCTTGGTTGTCATTTAGCTGAGTATGGAGTTCTGATTGGAGAGCGAGATTGGATAGTGTCTTTATTCTTTATATGCTTAAACTAATTAAGTTCGTGGAACTTATGTTCGAGTGTTCGTGTACATATTGGCATCAGTTATCTGGCCTCCCAAATGCTATCTGTTTCATCCTGCCCTGCCTCTTCTGTTTAATCCTCTTAGAAAAGATCCTGGATCTTCAAACTTGTGGGCACATCTTAGCAAAGTTTGAGCTCCTTAGGCGGTAATACGGAATCCTTGAGCACGTACCCTCCCCTTTTTTGGGTACCTGGTCCTAATCTTTGTTTAACGAAAAAATTGGGGTTTGTGTGTTTTTGTCTGCCAACGATATTAATGAGGATGCTGGATTGGATGTTCATAGATTATAACTATGCTGAGACTAACATGGTTGTTAAATGGATTTAATATCCACTTTGTTTTTTGTTGCTTATATATTGTTTTAATAGGTGGTAATTAAATGTTTCAGTAGATGTAATTATCTCTATGTGAAAGCAAACACGGGATCAACCAGCTTAGTTTGATGCATATATATAATTGGTTACGAATTTGAATTGATTTAGATCAAACTTGATCAATCTAAAGGACTAGGCAATTGAGTATTTTGTCTCCTACGTCTTTATTTTAGAAGCAGTGTCAATTTGGCGTGTGCAAAATGCTGGCTTTGATCAAAGTCTAATTTGTGTATTTTTCCTACACGTGGCTGGTAGGATTGAGTTGGCCCAAATGAATGGCAAGCCACTTATATTTCTTTTGTTGTAAAGAGTTATTCTATCAGCTCAGTCCCTACTATTCCAATCTAACTTTTTTGGGCTTATTCAAACCCAGTCACGTCTCTGAACACTGATTATTAAGGGTCAGTGGTGGATTCATCTGACCCGTCACAGTGTTGCTTTGCTGGAATTTAATTTCGTTATCCTTTTATGCTCATGTGTGGCTGGTGAAATACTTAAGCCTAAAAGAAACTTGCATGCGTCCGTTTCCCTCTAAAGAGGCTAACACTCGAGGATAGACAGCAATTATGATGACAGGAGCTTATTATAGTGGCTTAAGAAACCATCTTCGGGTTGGCTGCAGCATGATGCCGATGATGATTAATTAAGACTTCTAGGAGATTGGTGGTTTTAAGTTATGCATACATGTGAAAGCGATCTCGAATATTTTGTTGATTAAAGGTAAGCATACGAATAAAAGAAAATATAGGGGGAAAAAAATAGACAAGAAGATGTGGAGCTGATTTATTGGGAAACAGCTTAACAATCCTGATGGAGTGTCTAGATATTGGTAAAACCGTAAAATTGATGTTTCTTTAGCTATATCTTTCTTAGGACTCAATAATAAATGGAACACAAGATGGATGATTCCAAAAGAACTTCAGTGTAATCCCATAGCCCCATAATGATCTTAGCTTCTCTAGAACTTTTTGCAAAACTAATGTTGCACGTCATTCCTAAGAAGTCACTCCTTTTGTTCGGCCATACTTCATTTGCAGCTCTTCCGGTCATTTGCCGATCACAAACTGCCCACATACTTTCTTAGTCTTTGGAGTTGGGTTGTGATATTTTTTTTAAAGTTCTTCGTGTTCACGGAAACACCACTTTTCCGGCTGAGGTTGTTTTCTAGAAGGTGCAGCTTTCAGTTGTTTTCATTGCACACTGAGGGTATGGAAAAATTGGGTGTTCTGCACCCCTGATTTTTGATTTACATTGTTTAGTGCATCCTTTCATTTTTTTTTTCATTATTTTCCATGTTATATATATGTGATAAGATCATACAATTACTATATTATGAACTTTTTGTTAGGATCATATTTTATTGAAGAAATGTGAATTTTTTTTTGGCTTGAAAACTGCAGTGGCAGCTGTAAACGATGCAACGTGGCAATCACTAGTCATTGAATCACGTACTCCTGTTCTCGTTGAATTCTGGGCTCCATGGTGTGGACCATGCCGCATGATCCACCCTGTTATCGACGAACTGGCAAAGCAGTATGCTGGAAAGCTAAGCTGCTACAAGGTAAACACTGACGAGTGCCCTGCAATTGCTTCACGATATGGGATCCGAAGCATCCCAACTGTAATGATTTTCGTGGGAGGAGAGAAGAAAGATGCAGTTATTGGTGCAGTGCCTAAATCAACACTGTGCACCTGCATTGATAAGTTCTTGTAGAGGCGGTATGTATGTAATCTTTTAGGGGAACTGTGCTACCTTTCTTGATTGTTTCTTCTCTATTTAGCTTATAAGTTGCAAATTTGGATTCTCTGCTGCGTTAATAAACTCGATATGCTCCTGTATAGTTGGATGCTGCTGTGTTTCCTACCCGCTTTCTGATAATGTAAGATATACAAATATTTCGTTAAAAAAAATTGCAATTTTGTTCTAATTATACCTGTCTATATGTTAAAATTCTGAAAAGCTATATCTATTATTGTCATTAAAATGTTAAAATGAGAACTGCTTATATAACATTCTGCCCAATACGTTTCTTTTCTTTGGATGGGTTGGCTTGGCAGTTGCACCCATGGTCTGGAATGGGTCGGATCATTAACTGGTGGTCTGGCCTGATGTCGATTATCGACCACCTATACAAGATGTGTGAAATTGGCAAATTCAAAATTAATGAGTGAAAGTTAAAACAGTTTGTGATTTTTTGATTGACCATAAATTTGACCACCAGAAAGAAAAAAGATACGCCATGGCCAAGGAATTTAGCTTTCAGGTAGTGTTGAAGGTGAGAAAGTGGCCACTTTGTCCTCTTTCTCTTCTGGTCTGCCATGTTGCGTCTACCCAAAAGGAAGATATTACGTGTACTTACAGGAATGCTTGATGCAACTGAAGAACATAAGAAAATATTAGTAGTATTTTTTTAACTATTTTGATATTAAATAGGCATGAAATGATAGGTATGGGTTTAGTTTCATGTGTTCAGTAATGATAATGTTGACTAATCAAAAATTAGGTTAGCTGATTAATCAATACGAACGGGAATGTTACCTGAATTGTGTGTGTCGTTTTGGTACGTGATACATGTATGAGTATATGCTACTACACTTTTTCTATGTACGTGGTGCGATGGGGATATGTTTAATTAATACAATTTTTTGGGTCACAATTCGTTTTAGAATTCTTATCTAAATTATTTTTACCACGATATAATATATTATATATCATAGAACATTAATAAACACCAAATCAATTACCATTTATATTACATTGTAGCTCGATTTTATGTTATCTAAAATAATATATAACTATAAATATATATACTCATAGTTAAGTAATATGTATTTTATATTCGTGTTATTGTGTACAATTTGAGATCGTATATCTCGATGATTTAGATTACGAACTCACCCCACTTAGGATCAATATATCAAGATTTAGTGAATTCTGGTACTACGGACAATATACCACTAATGAACATATTCTGGGTTTTCTGAAACTTCTTGAAGCACCATGTGGTTGAAGAGCCCTCTAGCAAACCAAGTCAAACATTTCTTCGAATTCTTATTGGACGTATTCTACGTTGCTGTAACTTGAAGTCTGTGGCCTGTTGCTGTCATGGAAGTCCAATATCTGTAGCTGTACTGCTGCCGCCTCTTCATATAATATAAATAATATTTTGTTAATTTTTTTTAAACTCAATACTCGATTCTTTACAATCATGTATAATTAATTTTATGTAATGTATAGTTGTGTTCATGTCACGTGAAATTCGTTTTTTGTATAAATTGTGTTTGTAACGGTTTATATACCACACGAATAATCCAACTCCATCGATGTTAAATCTTTAATATTTGTTTAACTGCTAATATCTGTCGATTTCTTGCAACGTTGGTGAATCATACTGAAAGATTGTCGAGATATTCTAACGTTGCTCAGGATTGTCTGAGTTTTTTTTTTTTTTTGGAAAGTAGGTTGGACAAAGTTACTTGTATCTTGCACAGTCAGATGATTGTGGATAGACAATCAATCAGTCACATTCTTTTGGGCGGTCAGTATTAGTCATTGTCGGTAAGTGATCCAAAAAAAACTTTGGAAAAATTTTAATTACGTTACTTCTAATTTGTCATATTTTCAAAAACATTCCTTATATTTTTTGAATATTCATTGACACCCTGTCAGATTAAAAATAGGAAAAATTTGAATCACACCTCCTCTAGTTTATTATATCTTCAAGGAGATTCCCTTTATTTTATAAATCTTCACTAACACCGCCTGTCAGATTAAAAATATTAATTTTAATCGACACTAATAGCTCAGGTAGAGTTCAAATCGATTCAAATTTCAATACGTAAGAATAAATTATAATAAGCTTGAATTTTAATACGTTAAAAAATAAAACATAATTAATTTTAATCGAATTTTAATATGTAAGAAATTAAATTTTAATCGATTCAAATTTAAATAAAATTTTATGTAGAAAAATTATTTGAGATTTATGTAGGGGCATTTTTGGTATTTTAGATGAAATTTTTTTGTTAGAAATGATACTTAATGGTAGGAAGTGTTGGTGATGTTTAAATATAAACTAAAAAGGATGTCAGTGATGTTTTTGATAATAGAGGAGATGTCTTTGAAGATATAATAAATTAGGAGGGATGTGACTAAAATTTTCCCAAAAACTTTTGATACCTTGGACTTGTCTCCATATAGACTAATAATAGATAATACATTTTGGGAAAGTTTACGGTACCGTACCAAAATTTACAATTATATAAGATTAAGTTACAATTTTTTTGAGGTGTAAGTTACAATTTTTAAAAGTCATGATCGATCATGATAGATTGAAATTGATAACGAGGTTTCAATTTTTAAATGTCAAATTACAACTCGTAAGGAAAAAGTTACAATTACTCAAGAGAAGTTCATGATCGATCATATGTATCTGTGATCGATCATAGACTTCCCTTAAACAATTGTAACTTCTCAATTTTGAGTTATAATTTTACCATAAAAATAGTAACAGGTGGTACGGTATCGAAGACGGTACCGTAGACTTTCTAATAAATTTTACAATGTACGATGTTAATTTTTGTTAAATTATATTCTCGATTCAGTTATAATCATATATAATTGTATTTATGTCGTGTCATGAGTGAAAGATTCTTGTTTTGTGTAATTGGTGTTTAAGTCGATCCATATTGATGGGACTCTTCTGAAAAGCCCTATGATGAAGACACGTGTCCTCGGGTTTCTGGAACAATGTTGCTCGGATTGAAGCACCATCGGCAACGAGTGTCCTCGCCCCCGAGGTACCTCTCATATAGGATCATGCATTCGGTGTATTGTACAACAACACGTGTTCTCGGCCACCGTGTACCTCGGAAACATACCACCCTCGGTCCCCGAGGTGAGCCTTTCCTCGGTGCCGAGAGTTACTCTGTCCTGGACGCTTCCTCTACTCCAGGGTAAAGCTACTGACGTACGGGTCATCAGCCTATGCCAGTCTAGACTATTCATCATGACCTCGTCTTACACAAGTAATGTCAGAACATATCGGAATACAGTAATCACAGCCAGTAAGGGATGGACGTGTGGCAAATGATGTCACATCAAAGACAGACAAATTGCGCGCCGTTACTGACACATGGCTTGGGAAAGCAAACAATTAATTGCACCCTTCTGTTGACGAGACCGCATTCAATGCGGTAAGGTTCGGATATGAAAGGCAATAAATGCTCCTATTACGGAGCATTTATTGCATCCTTCCCGAAAGGAGCATATTGTACCGTCGGCGTCCCGACAACTCACCATTGATTGCTCGGGACCCCGAGCAGTCAATTAGAGAAGACATTCCTCATCAAATGATTACACACGCTACCTGTGCCTGATGATTACCTACTGACCACACTGACAGCAATCATGATCTTCTAAGGTATAAATACCCCTCCCAAAAGACAAAGCGGGTATGCAATCACAAACTCTCAACTACGAAATATCCTTCTCAGTGTTTTCTCCTTCCTCTCTCTCATTCAAAGACTGACTAGACCGTCGGAGGGGATACGCCGGAAAACACTCCGGCGCCCTTCTAACTTGTTCTCCTTTGTTCCAGGAAATACCTTTCACACGTACAGGATCGTTCTTCTTTTTCCAGGATCTTCCTTTGCCGTTCCAAGTTGCCACCGTACCTTGCAGGCCGTTTCAAGCAGCGCGTTTGGCCACTCAACCGGCTCACTCAAAGTTCACCAGGGGAGAGAGCTGTTCCCAATATTTTTTATATTGTGCAGGATCTTGCACGCACAATCTGGCGCCGTCTGTGGGAAACGAGTAGTTTTCCTAATCTTTTCTCTAAAAAGAACAGTGACCATGGTGAACACCAGACAGAAAGGGAAAGGACCCCACCAACGGAGTCATGAGTTGCAAGCTCCCTGCCATCACGGAGGGAGGGATCGCACCAGTACGATTAAAAGTGCCTCTACTCGGTCAAGGGGGGTAACCCCTCAAACCAGTATGGGTATCAGGTCAGGAGGATCAGCCCCCTTGGCCCGTCAGCTGGCAGAGGTGATTGAAGAGAAATTTGGCGATAGATTACGTCAGCTGGAGAAGGACAATGTAAACGTCCTTAGCCGGCTCGACGAGTTTGCTGCCTCAGGCGGAGGGTCGAGGGATTCATTCCTCTCCCGAGGACTCCCCGTCCATGAGGCGGAGACAAAGGATCTAAGGAACCACCTGGATCACAAAGCAGAAAGCTCCAGGGCCCCGAAGCGACCCAAAGCCGGCGAATGCCATCTTGACAACCATTCCAGGAAAGCAAGGCCATTGGCCCTGGACGACCTCCGGCGAGGTTTATCCAGACGGAGGAAGGGAGATGAATCCGAGGAGGACTCAACCCAATCTACACGACGCCCAGGAAACGAGGGGCTTACCGACGAACCCAGAGACTTCAGGAGGCATCCCGTAAGGGAAGAAGTAGATCTCAGAGCCCGATTAGACTCCAGAAGAAAGGGCAAGACGATCCAGGACGAGGCCGAGGACGAAGTCATGCAAACACCCTTCACGAGGGAAATCATTGAGATGGATGTCTCAAGAAAGTTCGTCGTGCCACGGTTCAAAACCTATGATGGGCGNTGTAGTTTTCCTAATTTTTTCTCTATAAAGAACAGTGACCATGGTGAACACTAGACAGAAAGGGAAAGGACCTCACCAAAGGAGTCATGAGTTGCAAGCTCCCTGCCATCACGGAGGGAGGGATCGCACCAGTACGATTAAAAGTGCCTCTACTCGGTCAAGGGGGGTAACCCCTCAAACCAGTATGGGGATCAGGTCAGGGGGAACATCCCCCTTGGCCCGTCAGCTGACAGAGGTGATTGAAGAAAAATTTGGCGATAGATTACGTCAGCTGGAGAAGGACAATGTAAACGTCCTTAGCCGGCT